TAGTAATCACCTAAGTGCAGTTACCTACTACTGCTGAAATAAATCACTTCAGGATTAAAAGCTGTCTTTATGACATACACATTTATCTTTTATTATTACCATAGCTGCTTTTCAAGTGCCTCATCATTTTCCTTTGCCTTTTCCTTTCCCCTTAATTAGGGGACAGAGAGAAGTCAATATGCATTAAACTATGAGTATTGTTTTCCATAGATCTTAAGTAAACTAATAAGTCTCCATTCACTTTCCCTACTTTTGCTTCACTCTACCCTGAAGGCTTCTTCCTGGGGAGACACAATGAGTTGTCTATATACCCTATTTATTTTTTTTTTAATTTTAAACTAAATGAACTACAGCTTTACTCTTTCTGCCATCTAGTTGTGCTTAATAAGTTCATACTATCATGAGATCTAAGGTAATACCAATTTTTATGTGAGAAGTTTCAGGATTCTCCTACTTTAAAAGCCTCCTGAGAACAAACACCATACAGATACAGGAACAGATCACTGAGAAACCTCTTCCTCCAAACACCAAGAAGTTTGGATTAAAATTCAATTTGCTTGCAAGAAAGAAGCAAATATAAAGACTGCTAACAAGAAAAAAAAAAGAGCCCAGGCAGACTTTGTGGAAGCATGTGATTTGTGATTCACAACATGGTGCCATAGAAAGGTGCATTTGTGGACTTCATTATCCTCTTCTGACCCAGGCTGTGTTGATAGAGGTCTCCCAATTAGCCTGAAGCAGAGTTAACAAGGTAGCATTCAAGGAGGCAAAGTGTTTCTGGCTGTACGGCATAAAGGGCTGCTTATTCCTTCCCTCAAATTGGAATAGAGCATCCTCTCTCTCCTGATACCTTCAACAGCAACAGCTGCATCTACAACCCTCCCTCCATGCCCACAATGTAAATTCCAACCACTCACTGATGGTAGCAGCTCATCTTTGAGATCACATTTCCCACTGACTTTGAGTCTGTATCTAACACCCATGGAAAAGCAAAACCTTCCCAGAACCCAGATACATCTTTCCAAAACACACTCCTGCCACAAGCATCAGCTCCTGGCAGATACTTAACAGAACGAATCCTTTCTTTTGTGCTTCCTCCACATTTTCAGCTCTCCTGCTGCTTTCACTGAGCATACTCTGAGCACACAAATTTTCGCAAGGCTCAGAAGGAGCCTAATTCTGTTATTCTTTCTCCTATAAGCCAGGTCTACCTGTGTTATTTGTGAATGCAATGTTTGGGGAACCAGCAGTGAAATAAATGTGTTTCACAGAGTGGGTAAAGTATGTCTGAAGAGATAAAAGATGGATTTATTTTTTCTATGTCTTTCTATCTTTTCATGTCTTGGATACTTTTTTGTGGATACTTTTTTACTTTTTCAAGTGGTCCTTTTTGACATTATGTCTTTTCAACAGTCTTTCCAGCTCTACTCCCTTCCCAAAATAGCCACATTGTCACACAAAAGAAAGTGAAACAAAGATATCGGGCACTGATCTAAGATGTCCAGATCAATAATGGCATTGGGGAAATCAAGGTTAGAGGCAGTATGCACAAACAGGCATCAATACTGCAAAAGTTGGAGGCTTTTCCATGCGTGCTGATTCCTGTAGTAGACATGCTTCAGGGCCGCTTGATAAGAATTCTCATGGCCAGTTTATGTCTGCATATGCCTCTTATCCAGCCTGGTGATGTTTTTGGCCTTGGCCATTCTTTCAGTACTTTGGTGGAGCCTTCTGCACAAATCAGTCTCCCTGGAAAGGGAAGCAGTATGAATATGAAGTTTAAATATTTTTAACCTTCCACTAAATTACATGGTGGTGATGTGAGAAGATCTGGTAACATGAGTCCAAGTATTTCAATAACAAAGGGCAAATACAGGAAAATCCAGAGAATCTCAGAGGTTGTCATGACAATTTACCTTTCTGTTATAATAGTTTCACCTTCAAAATAGCAAAAAGTGGAAAAGCAAAGTCATTATGTATGTGTGGTGAAAGTAAACACAAGGCATTACACAGGTACTTTCTCGTGAGCTCTTAAAGAATCAAATTTGGTTCTGACTTGATTTTGCAAAAGCACATAGTACCATCTTACAAAAAGCCAGATGATCAGGGTGGTCTCTAAAAGTTGCTGATATGGCATATAAAAGTTGTAGCACTGCCTACAAAACAACCTTTGGGACAGAAAGTAGGAGAATTTAATCAAGTAAAATGATGGGAGGGAAAACGAAGTTGTTGACACAGGCTTTGGCTGAGAAGATCCTGAGTTGCAGGTTGCCAGAGCTCAGGTGGCTCTAACACAGAACACACACTTGGTTGTCTTCTTCCAATGCCATCACCCTTGCCATCTTACTGGCACCTGCTGGAAAGCCTCCAGGACCTCCTGGAGGCTTGCCCTACTGCAGTGTGAGTATTTTTACATAACCTAAAGCAACTTGGAAGGGTAAATACACTTGACAGAAGTTTGTTCAGAGTGAATGACTTGAAGCCCCAAGGCTAAAAGTTTAACATAATTTACTGTCGTTTGTCATGCTGGGAAAATGAAAGGAAGCTGAACAACAGAGGTTTCGTCTTCTTGTGGAAGCACTGAAGCCTCCAGTTCTGATATTTACTAAAATGAAATATTTAAAGGGCTAGAAACTATTAGGCTGTGTACAAGAAATATTGAATATCACCAAAAGAAGAACCATCACGAACAGTCTATTCTGTAAATTCAGTTAATTCTAGGAGTGATATACTGTCCAAAGAGATGTGTAGCTCCATAAAATTGTTATTCTTTTAAATAATTGAAAAGTGAAGTCAGTCACCTGGCGCCAGAGCAGAACATAATAGCAGTTATTTAAGAGGTTGAAACAACTCCTGTTGAATCTCTAGTACTTCTCCCTTTTGATGTAAGCAACCAAATCATTGTAAGAACAGATCTCAGCAACTGTGGATTAAAGAACTATTGAAATGTCATGATGGTCTCCTGAGGTCAGTTGCTTATGATTTAATGATGATAAATAATACTAAAAGGAGATAGTTTGAAACAGAATCTGACCTTTCTTAGTCAAAAATACAGGAAAAATCTTGAAGGATGAGAGTCCATGAACTTGTTCCTGACTACATGTTGTTCTTCTCAGGATAAACAGCTATGCCTTGGTTAATATGATAGCAAGCTTTCAAGCATACTGACAGTGTAATGGATTTTTTTTTTTTTTTTTTTTGTGGGGTGGTCATGGGATGAAAAGAAAGGAAAAAATCAAGAAGAGGTTGAATTAAAGACTGACTGGCACACCAGTAAATTTGGGGAAAAGATGTAAAAATGTCATTTTGGATCACTTAAAAATACTGTATTAAAAAAAAATCTCTTTTACTTTCAAGATATTTGAAACATTTTAACTTACAATGATTATAGTGAAATTTATCTGAGAAAAGGGTCTCCATCTTATGTTCCCTAATATTCAGTTTAACACCACCAACCCCCACCCCGGTGCAACTTGAGGCCATTTCCTCATCTTATTGTTTGTTATTTGGAAGAGGAAGAAATGTGATCAGAGGGTTCAGTCAAATAGGAGTCAAACTCGAGAAGATTTCTTATCATTCAGGGCTATGGCTTGGAGGCTCTGCAGAGCTTGACTTCTTTCACTGTATTGCTGCATCCTCTGACACAATCTGCCAACCAAAAAAAATTAACCTTTAGGTCAGTCTCACAGACTTGCACAGCAGAATTGGCAGCAAAATCTACTTGGCAGAAAGAGTTCTCACAGAGAACAGTGTTTGTTACTCAGTTGGGTCCTTCACAGGTTATTTCTTTATTTACATTGATGGGAAATATACAAATGTGACATTTTAAATTAACACATAGTGATTTTTTCAGTCATTTTTTAGATAAGAACTAAGGGACTTGTGGGTTCTTTTCTTGCTGTGTTAGTGAGAGGAATAAATGAGGCTGTGCACACGTTACAGCAGTACCCCAGCAGGATGGAACCTAAAACAAGATTAAAAAGACACAGGAGGAAGATATCAAGGAAATAGCACCATGACCAGAGAGGTTGTTTTGCAATGCAAATATAAAAATGTATCAGTTTTCAGTGGGGAAAAATAAATTACTGATGTGACAATTACATTAACCATCTATTGTTGTTAGGCTTTTGATTTGTCTTGTAATCTACAGCTATTATATTAATGAGTTAAATAAAAATTGATTGTATTATGCATTAGAGAACAATCTAATTTTAACTAGCATGGGTGGGCTGTTGTTCTCTAGGTGGTTTATTGCTATGGTTTGGACTGGTTGAAGGTTTGTTAGACATCGATTGGAAAATGCCATTCTCTAACAAAGAGGAAATTAAAAATTGGCATAAGAATTAATATTGACCACTGAGTGCTAAACTGATGAAGACTTTCAGAAACTATTTCAGCAGTAGAGATCAGGTGATGCCTCATTAACTACCCCAGATTTCAGAAGAAATATGGTTGCATAATCACTTTAAAATTCCCATGCTAATTAAAATTTTGCTTTCTTTTGTACTATTACGTTTCTTTCAGAAGTCAGTAGTACACCCCTCACTAGAACTGTTGCAGCTGTGTCCTTTTCAATTGTTCATATTTACAATGAGACACTCCCCTTGTTTTGCATTCTGTTGGTTTGCTCAGCTTCTTCAGAGCTTATGCAAAGCAGCAAACTTCTGAGCCTGGGCCTCCTATTAGTACAGTCAACTGCACTTCTGAAGAGATCTGTTTCTGATAGAACCAATCATATTTTTTCTATTGTTAAAAAACAATGATTGTGAAAAATCACAGGTCTGCCATATTATGACTATTTTTGTGTACATTATATCTCTGTTTTTGTGTGCCATGCAACTCTGGCTGAATGATGCCACTTAACTCACTGAGAAAGCATCACATCAGAAATTTAGTTGTTCCCAAATAGTACCAAAACAGTGAACGGATAATATTTTGCAGAACATTTTTTTATGAAATGTAAAATATTCATATGCATATGTATATATATTAATTCCTAGATGGCTATCCTAAAGAGGAAATGATTTACAGATGGAGGAAAAATTCAGTGGAGGCTGCTGACCAGAAATCTTGGAGACTCTATCAGTTTGACTTTATGGGTCTCAGAAATACTTCAGAAATTGTGAAAACCTCTGCAGGTAAGAATGGTACAAATGATAGTGCTTTTTCTGGAATTCGCATTATTTAAAACTATTTATCCATACTTTGTTTTCATTCAAGTGCATATTGATTTTAATATGTTCCAGTGTTCATTTTAGAAGCTGTAAAGTTCAGACCTCAAAAATATTGAATTTATCTTGATTTTTGATGATCTCTACTCTTCTAGTGACTTCACAAACAGAAGAATAAATGTTTGCTTGATATGGCTATTTGTTGTAGATTTGAAGTTACTGAGTGATTCTCATTCCTCATTTATTAGGCCACTCCTGTGTTGAGTCTGTCTTCACCATAAATTAAAGATTTTGAGCACAATGGTACATTAGTAACACTGGACACCTTCTGTACTTAATAATTCAGAAAATGGTTTAGTATTTTTCTTAATATTTTAAAGACATAATCTTTCTCAGTTGATAAATGCCTTTGCTAGTGACCTTACCAATTGATTGCAATTAAAATCTAATGATACCTATTCTATTTCTTCAGAAATCTTGCTGATTCTTATAATAACACAGTAATATAGAGCAAAAAAATTGAATGGAATACATTATTTGAACTGGATAAATTGTGGTCATGCCATGTCTAAACTTTATACATGACTGCAGTAAGCTCCGTGATTGCCATGATTTGGTAAGCTTCTCACAGCTGCTGAGGGAATATGCTAGAAGCAACCTTCTGCTTAACAGGTGGTGAATTTTTGAAAAAAATAGTTTGGTTTTTTTTTTTAAAGATAAGCAAAACTAAGCTATTATTTTCAAAACATTGTGAATAACATTAATGATAAAAAACAATTCTAAACCTGTGAAACTACTGCTGTTTTGTCCTGGCCCACTCACTAACATCAGCAATGAGTTCTTAAAATTGGATAGCAATTTTTGTAATGAAAAGTCACTATATTTTTAGTGAATTTGTTGAGCTGATAGTTTAGCAGAAAAAACTGTTGCAAAGATCATACATGTGAAAGTTCTCTTTTGTTATGGATACAAAGTCTTTTAATTTGCAAGTTACAAGGAATGCAAATTCCCCATAAATTGACTCAGGTACAAAATATTAAATCATTGAAGTATCTATGTGTGTGGTTTAACCCCAGCTGGCAGCTTAACCATGCAGCTGCTCACTCACTTTCCCTGGTGGTATGAGGGAAAGGATTGGAAGAAGAAAAGCAAGAAAACTCATGGGTTAAGATAAAGATAGTTTAATAGGGGAAGAAAAAGCTGTGCACCCAGGCAAAGCAAAACAAGAAATTAATTCACTGCTTCCCATGGGCAGGCAGGTGTTCAGCCTTCTCCAAGAAAACAGGGATGTTGGAGCTGGATGATCTTCAAAGTCCCTTCCAACCCAAGCCATTCTATGGTTCCATGAGAAGGAATTACCAAGTTAATATAACACCAGTGTTTTGATAAACAAATCTATTTAACTCTGCCAGGACAAAACCATATTTATAGCGGGCTTACTTAAATAAGTGAAAGGATAATGTGGAGCAAAGAGAAACCTATTTCCTATGTTCATTTTAGCATGTGCCCAGTTCTTATTAAGATAAATGAGTTCGCACAATATTTTTGTATAATTGCTCTTGCTGTTTCTGCTCACCCATGTTTGTGAGTGCAAAATCCAACAGCAGTGTTGAACTCAAGTTACTGGAACCATGTGATATTTCTACTCTCCTAGAGGCACCACAGTGACAGAAAGTTGTTGACAAACTAAAGCTTATTCAAATACTGTACCCCCCTCCAAAAACAAAAACAAAAAAACCCAAAACAAGAAAAAATCCTGTCAGGAGATTGTGGAAGCTAACTTAGAAGAAACAATGTAAAATGCATGTGTCAGATTGTCATCTGGAGTTACTAGATTAGAAAAATGAGTAGTGTATTTCATCAGATTTCCCAACAAACATATGAGAGACATGAAGAATAAACCCCTGAATTTGCCCATGGACCTGAGTTTTCAGAAAACACACTATATTTTGTTATTCTATAGTTTAAGGTAATTTCAAAGGCCAGATTTACTGAATGTCAACAATATTTACTGTCAATAGCAAACCAGGGCCAGGACTTAAGAAAAAGCAAATACATTGGAAAACTTTGAATTGTGTAAGGAGTCTCAAAATAGAGGGAAGGGGCAGGGCACAGTGCAATATGTCTCTGACAAAATTCTGTAAGTACCCTTTGTGTCTATATATATGTGAACAAATAGGATAAAGGGAGCTCTGTACTCTGGGACATGCCTGTTTACTAAAGTAAAGCCCTAGCCGAAAAGTTTGAGAATTAGGGAACCCACAAAACTGCTGTTTCCTACTGTTTGGACAATCTGTGATAAAGGGAGGTGGCAGCTGCTTCTTACAGGTGTTACATCTCCTTCACAGCCATGCCACGGGGGGCTGCAGGTGGTCAAAAATAGATGCCAAGTTCTGACATGGAAGATCAGTGACATTTTTGCATTCAAGCTACCTGGAGAGGGAGACTGGCCTGAGGCTGCCCCTAGGATGCTATAGGTGTAGGACTCCCTCTGAATTTATGCTGCTCCTCAGAGAGAGCAGCTCCTGCCCTGTGCTCTGGTCTGTCCAAGCCCTGTGGAAGCCCAAAATGGCCCCAGCAGCCAGCACCCCTTTGCAGGCTCAGGACAGAAGGGAAGAGCAGCGTTGTTCAGAGTGCTTCACAGGGGATCATTCTGACTAATAACGTGGAGTTAGGAGGAGGGAAGCAAGCTGGATACCACCAGCAGCTGTCTGGGGAAAAAAGAAAAAAAAAAAAAAATCACCTCTTTCTCCCAAGGGAAATTATGGAAACTACTATTACAGGGGGAATTTAAAGCAGACTAGGCATAGCATGAGAAGATCTGCTGCAGAGACCAGTCCTGCACTAACAAGAGATGGATTCAAAACAAGAGATGGATTCTTTGTTGCTTACACCTTCCTGCTTGTTTATGACACTATTGCTTCTCACTAAATTACATCTATATAAAGTGAGAGCTACTGCAGTGCTTCCTTCCTCTGTCCAGCTTGGGGATCTCTTTTTAGCTCCTCTTCAGCCATGTTCCGGGTGTAATGAAGAGAGGGCACACTGACCACACAGCAACTTCTGCTGTTCTTCATTTGCCTTAAGTCCTTTCTTGGTAGTCATTTTCATGACAGAATTATTAGATTTAAGACTTGGAAGTGTTCTGATTTTTGATTTTTTCCAGTCTTCCCAAACCTTTTTCAGACATTTAAATAACCTTTATGTTAATCTATGACAATTTCAGAGGTACATGATTAAGAAGCCAGCTGTCACAGAGTACACTTCTGAAATCTAAGCAATATGAAAAATGTCATATTTTGCACTGAACCAGCAGTGGCTTAAATTATTGACACAGTGTTGTACTTTGCACTTTTTTTACAATAATCTAGCAGCCAAAAAATTGCCACCTGGAAGAAGTGTACATCTTTCTCCTGAGGGTATTATTTTTAATTTCATGCTAAGATACAAAAAAAAAAAAAAAACAAAACAAAAAAACCTACTGCAAGTGATTGTTGCCTGCAATAATCAGCAGAAGTCACTGTGCTGGTGGTATGGTCATGAACCTTTATCTAGAACCCTAAGAAAGTTCTCACTGTCAGGTGATACCAAATTAATTCACAAATACTGAAAAATTCTCCTGTTGCCATCTGGCAGGGTACTCAGATACTGTAACGAGATCACTTCTCTTGCTACAATGTCAAATAAGGCTGACAAAGATAATTAAATTGGAGGGAGTACTAAACCATTTGTGAAAAGAAAGGACAAACTGCATGTATAGAAAAAATGTGCAGATTTTAAAACTGTAAGTCAGCCAATGGAAAAGTGACCAGGACAACAGGAGAGAGAAGAATGTCATCTTTAAAAGTACTGTGTGTGTGATTGTAGTAAACTTCAAGTTTCTGAGTCCTGGACGTTCCGAATACTCTCGAGAGCAGTGGTGGGGTGGGACATAGGAGGGGAATAAAAACAAAGACCAGGAAAAACCCACAACAAAATTATGGAGAATTCCACAATTAAAGCTCATGGATTGAGATGTAGTGTTGCTTGCACTTTTCTGTCTTCCTCAGAAAGTCTATTCTTTTAAAACCACTTATTTTTTTCACACTGTTAGATAAACACAAAGACCCTCTAGCTCTTGAATCTTTTTTTCATTTACTTGAAAATTTCTTTGCACCATACAAGTATTGTTTGTCTTCTTTCCCAGATGCCTTTAGCCTGAGAGATCTCTGCAGTTCAGAGGACCTTTGCATAAGTTCAAGTTAATTCATCAGAAATAGAAAATACCAATAAAAGCACCCTATTAAAAAAATATAGCTGATTATTGCAAATTATATATATAAAACCAGACAGAAAGCTCCATTTCATAGATTCTGAATTATCCCAAGCATTAAACTCAGTAAAAAGCCATAACAACTGCCATAAGAAGGAACACCTTTGTTCACTTACCATGGATGGGTGATGATTAGTGGAGTCTGCCTGTCATACAACTTCTAAATTATCCTTTATGTTTTGAAATTGCTGTTTCATGAAGTACTTCAGCTTAAATGATGCTCTCAGCCCTGTATCACAGGGCTGTAAATCCAGGTTGATATCTGTTGTCACAGATTTAGATAAAGCTCTTTGGGCCATACTAGTAGCAACACAGATTAAAGTACATATTCTCTTGCAGAGTACTCAGTAAATGACAAGTACAAAGCTACTAAAGAACAAAATAAAGCAAACTTTTCTTTCAAGAAAATGCAAATATATACATACTTATATACATGTATGTATACATACAGAGATTTATCCAGAGGAAATGGTGCTCCTGACTTTCTCTTCTAATAAGTGTGCAAAGAACAGCTGACTTGAGAAAGCATTTCAAAAGAGTCACCTTTGCTTACTGTCACATGCTCCCAGATCCCTTAGCTGCAGGCACAGAGAGCCCTCAAGAAGTGCCCACACAGGGTGAGCCAGATTGACCAGTGCAGCCCAGGGCTGGGCAG